CCTTCTCTTGCGGAGGCTGAAAAGGTCCAGGTTCTCTAGTCTCTCCTCGTAGGGCTTGGTCTGCAAGCCCTTAACCATACGAGTGGCCCTTCTCTGGACTCTCTCCAGGTTATCCGCATCCCTCTTGAAGTGCGGTGCCCAGAACTGCACGCAGTACTCCAACTGCGGTCTGACCAGCACCCGATAGAGGGGAAGTATCACCTCCTTGGATCTAAAAGAGGATATTTATATGTGCACATATAATAATATATATATCATATTTATATGATCAATGACAAATGCGGAATTGTCATATTGGTTAAATCTGTATAGCTATTTTTTTAACTGCATAGCTAGCTAAATTAATGTGCTAAAAGTTTTTCAACAATTTGGAGTACAGTTCCCCCCAAACCCCTGCACTGATCTTCTTGAAACTTGGCAGGTTTCATGCGCTCAGGAGAGGCTGCCATTCCTGCAAGTTTCATCCAAATTGGACAAAAAATGACAAAGTTATAGATATTTCATTGAATCTCCATTATACCCTATGGCCGGATCTCCAAGGTGACTCCGAAGCTTCGGAGCCGCTTTGGGCAGATCGAGGTGGAAACCTGGTCCGGAGCTCTGGATCAGATCGCGGCCATCCGAAGCGGCCGGATCCAAAGCCGGACCAGATTGCTACCGACTCGCACAGGCCTAGGAATCAGTGGGGAGGAAGGATGTGTGTGGGCGGGGGGCTGGAAGGGAAGAGAAAGAGGCTTGTCAGATGAGGAACCAGAAGAGGGGAACTTGAACTGTGTGGGCAAATTGCCCAAGGAAAGAGGCTGGGGGTTGGAAGGGACGTGGGGATAGCTGAGCAAGGAAACCAGAGCCTAAGGGAAGAATAGGACTGGCTGGAAGGTGCCAGGGACAGGGATGAGAAGCCTGAGATGAGAGATGGGAACTGAACAGAGAATGAGAATGGGACAAAGGTAAAGAACCAGAGAAGAGAAAGACACATCAGAGTGCATGGGGCCAAGCTTGCTGGGGGGGATGGATAGAGAAGTCTGTGCTTACAAGAGCGCATTCACCTCAAGAGCCTGGATAAAAACAAGCATGAACCTTTTGCCTGCTGGCAGCAAATGTCTAATAAACCCACTGTCAACATGGAAGTCTTCTGTGCTCCTGGGCTACACTGAGGACTGATATCAGAGTTTTTTTCGCTAGCTCAAACAACAGAGATCTGTGCCATGGATTGAAAGGTTGCCTGCAGGTGTCTCTGTCATGTAGAATGATGGAGTTCTATGTATTCAGGTAGCTATTTGTAAACACCTAAGAAATTACAATTAAAAACAATCTTCATTCAAGATGCATTATGAAAGTTGTAAAGTCAAGTCTTCAAAAGAGTTAGGATATATCAGAATTAAGGTTGTTAGTGCAAAGTTAAGTGGCGCCCTTTGGGCATATGCATTACTTTAATTAAGAGCTTGAAACAAGATATTGACTGGCTGCTCATTCAACAGCTGCCCTACTCGCCCCGAGAACTTGATTGATGTAGAGGTCATGTGTGAATAATTGTATGCGGTGGTATAGTATCAGAAAATATCACATACAATTCTGGCATTCCCTAGCTTTGGAAGGCTTGGCTTTGAAATCTTAGTAGGTTCCCTCAGTGTAGTGTATGTGTGTGCATGCATGGGCCGCAGAACGGGGTGGGCCACCTGGGCCATGGTCTGATCAACTTTTAGCACATTAATTTAGCTAGCTATGCAGTTAAAAAAATAGCTATACAGATTTAACCAATATGACAATTCCGCATTTGTCATTGATCATATAAATATGATATATATATTATTATATGTGCACATATAAATATCCTCTTTTAGATCCAAGGAGGTGATACTTCCCCTCTATGTCATATAAATTAACATGTAAAAGTTGTTCGGGCCATGGCCTGGGTGGCCCATCCTGTTCCACGGCCTATGCGCACATGTGTGCACACATGTGTGTAGGTGTGTCTGAGTGCAGGCACATGTCATTATTCTCTAAACCAGCCTGGTGCCTGTGTGAATGAATCCTTATTTGGATGTAAAATTTGTGAAATTTGTGCAACAGCCCACTGCGCCATCTAGTGTCTATCTCCCCTGCCTACAGAGCTCTTGTAGGAACCATATCCTGACCCAAATCTACACAGAGGGATTCTTCATGCCCAGGGCTTTTCTACAAAGGCAATCTAGGACTTTAAGTCTTTAGCAGTTTGTATAAAACTAAACAAAAGTTAAGCCAACTTTACTTTTGTATTTGATTAGAGCTATGCCACTCCACCCACAGCCAGAAAGGTCTCCACGCAGTTTTCCCTCACTGAATATTTCCAGGAAGGACAGAAACAGCTTTACAACATCTCATCCAGCCCGGAAAAGGCAAAAGACCACATCCAGCAAGACTCTCTAGCAAGCACTGTAAGTGTTACTCCTGGTAGTTACTGTAAGTGTTACACTGTAAGTGTTACTCCTGGTAGACTGGTAGAGACCAGTCTCTCATTAATGCTGTTAAACTAATGCAAGTGACTGAACATATTAAACCATGAAGCCTGGGGTTGTACTAATGTGTTGATATGAGGCAGGGCACTGCTATGCTTAACAGAAGTGCCAAGAAGATGAGATATAAAAACATCCCATCTTAAATGTGATATCACTTTAAGATTATTTTAATATTAAGAATGTATAAAGTGATGAAAGAGGCTTGACTCATGGTCGTGCTTCATAATTGCCAGGGCTGGAGTCATCACTGCATTTAAATTTACTTATTGGAGTTAAAGTAACATTGTCATTAAAAAGGAGACTCAAAATCTGTTAAGTAAAAGTGACTGCGGATTCCTATGTACGTGAACATCTGGGAATAGAGTGATATGTGCACCTATCTGGCTGACTGCCCGCCCCTCTCCTACCCAGCCCTTTTAGAGCTGGTGGAAAAGTTGCTGACCCACAGTGTTTCTTTGAAAAATGCTGATTTGTAGAGCCTAATGTGTTTCATCTGAAATATCTTGGGTTTGATGATCCTTTGCAGGGTCCCTGGCTACACCCACAGAGTAAACTATCTCAGGGCTGCTAGCTTGTAGGGTCTCTGGCTCTGGGGAGGATTCTCAGCTGGACTGTCCCAGTTTTCCAGGATTTCTGACTTCGGAGCAGCAAGCCATGCCAGGGATTCCAGGTTATCTGTCATGGAGTTGGGAGCCTGCAAGGCCCTGACAGCCTGGGCTCTAATCAGAGCCAAAGACCTTGCTATCACTGCTTTTATCAAGGTCAGGTGAGCAGCTGCCTGGGAGCAGGTTTCATGTTCATCTTTCCAAAATTCAGATTTTTGGGGCCATCACAGAAACTTTGGAAAATGTTGGGTCTGATCTGATTTGGACAAACATCAGAATTAAAAGAATCCCACAAACCAGACATATGGCCAGTTCTATCTGGGATCCTTAGCAAGCAGCAGCCACTGTAGTTAAGTCCTGGAGCTTCGCACTCCCATTGCTTTTTAAGCGCTTTCCCTCTCAGGCTTATGAAGCAGCTGGACACAGTCTGGGCCAGATTGCTTAGTTAGAAGTCTTATTATTGTCCGTATCAGACACCATTTTTCAAGCTGCAGATGCCAGCTATGCACAAGACCTTATTGTAAGGCTTTGAATAAGATCATTATCCATCTCAAGAGCCTCTTGAAGAATGCAAATGTGAACACCGGGCAATTATTTAAGTGTGGTCAGTTGTGAAGTCTCATAATTTGCCTGTGTCTTTATGTATCTATAAATACTGGAAATGAAAAAGATCAGAATCAGTTCTCTTAGGGGCTCATGAAATCTCATTTGCTTCATTATAGAAAACCTGTTTGTCTGATATTGCCCAATACTTTGATATCTGTAGATATGACAATAGTACTTTCATATACAGGGTTTGACTGTGTATTTCAGAGGGCAACTAGCATTAGAACGGTGGGCCTGGTCCTCAGCTGGTGTAAAATAAGTGCCATCCCATAGACATCAATGGATTTGTGCTGAAGATCTGGCCTTATGTTTCTTAAAATGCGCTTAATTTCCCTTGATTTCCAGATGTATGATGTCCCCCCTACCAGAGAATGTGATATTCCCATCCAAAATACATCTCAGAGAAAATATGTGGGCCATTGCAATACCTTGCCAAATCCTCGGAAGTCAGAATGGATTTATGATATTCCAGTCTCACCTGAAAAACCAGGTTTGAAACAGCATCCTCCTAATCATTGCCTGGAGAAGCAGATGTTGTATGACGTACCACCAGCCAGGTATGGTGCTGGGGTGCAAAATGCAGCTAGCACCCTACCAGCAACAGCAACTGAAGGCAAATTGGCGAACCCACAAGAATACGATGTTCCACCAATACAGAAGAAATTAACTGTTCCAGATGCTCCCCTTTATGCTGTACCATCCTCATGTGATATGTTGCGTTTGAGGAAAAATAGCAACTATCGTGTCCCCCTGAGCTTTCTGTCCACAAAGGTTGAAAATCAGAATTGTGAACAAAACATTTATGACATTCCTAAAGTATTGCCTACTGCTTTACAGAACAGAAAGGGGACTGAAAAAAACAATGGTAGTTTTGAAGACCATACATACAATGTTCCTTTACAACTGTCCAGGGATGCCAAATTAGAGCAAGATAGGTTATCATTTGACAGTGTGGACAGTAGAACCAGCACCATATCTACATCCCCAAGCACTTCTGTTGAGTCCTTTTCTCTGTCATCAGAAGAGGAACCTGCTCAAGAAATTAAATTGGACCTTGATGTAGCCATAGAGATGCTGACCAAGCTACAGCACAGCGTATCCAGTTCAGTTGCGAGCCTAATGCTATATGTGAGTAGTAAATGGAGATACCAAGAACACCTGGAGGCAAACATTGAGGAAATTCATAGAGCAGTTGATCACATAAAAGTTTCTTTGGGAGAATTCTTGAACTTTGCTCAAGGTATTAAGGCAAATGCCTCTTGCCTCAGTGACAATAACCTTCAGACCAGAATTAAAAAGCAGTTACAAATTCTTGTAGACTCATTCCACATATTAGTAGAAACAAGGGAAGCACTGAACAACTGCAACTGGTCTTTGCAGGTTCTGGTCATTAAGAAACCTCAGAACAATCCAGATGATCTTGATCGGTTTGTTATGGTAGCCCGTGCCATTCCAGATGATATCAGGAGGTTTGTCTCCATTATCATAGCTAATGGAAAGCTTCTCTTCAAGAAGAATGACAAAGAGCAGAAGACTACGCAACCAAAACTGAACACAGAGCATAAGATGGCAAAACCAGTCCCGGCACCCAGAAGAAGAGAATTTAATTCACTTCAAAGAAATAAACCAAACAAAAGTGAACTCTCTTCTGAGAAATCAAGAAAAAATGTCAGTGAAGACTGTGATTACGTTCACCTGCAGGTTTGTATAACGTTAACTTCCTACCTATATTCTGCGTTGTGGTGTTTGTAGATAGCAGTTCATTTGTATTATTTCTGCATTAATACAAACTTGGCTTTGCTTTATATGCAGTTTCCAGCCCACATATATGACTGCTAAGCTTTTATTGCCATAGCCATGAATGGCAGGAAGCACAGAATTCAGCAGAATTATAAGGGGAGCCAGACTTATTCGGCAAGCAGTATAGAAAGCAGTTCATTAGCTCCACCACTGGATTCAATTTTCAGTTGGACTTCAAACAGTAGTTTCCTATGTGTTTCTTTACAGTAATGTTCTTATTCTTACTAGTATATTAAGCTTCAATCGTTCTGATACAATTTTGGTTTGGGGTACATGTCTTGTTTTGATTCCTTGGCATAAGAAAAATCAGCTTCATTTTTCATGATTTGTTAGAAAAGATTGTTTGTTTCTAATACATACTCTCAGATCTCAGTGATGGTTGATAATATTAAGCTATAATACAGATAGCTATTTAATACTAAATGCCAGGAAACAGCTAGACTTACTGTTGGAAATCACTTTGGGAATGGAAGAGAAAGGACGCATATCAGACAGTTAGCCATTAAATACCAGTGTTTAAATACATTAAATACATTAAATAGATTAAAAACCATTAAATACAGAGCATAATTAAATATTAAATTATGAGTTGGATGTGGTTCATTGATAATAGAGCCAGTGCTACCTTTTGCAGGATCAGTCCCTAAGTTCTTTAATACGAACAGCTCTGACTAATGGGTTATGCTCCTAATAACAAGTTCAGTGTAGTCAGTGATTACACCTAGATTACATGGCATGGAAGGCTTATGCTACCACATAGAACAAAACCAAAGCCATATGGAAGCATTTTATGTAAACTTTTCATTTTTCAGAAATATCAAGGTCTGGAACAGGCAGCAAAACACCTTTCACCTAAAGAGGTAGCAACGAAGAATGGAGATTCAAAACAAAAGGTATTTCTGGCCTTAAAAAAAATGTTGCTAATTAAGATTGTCGAGCCCTCAAGCTGTATAAAGCACCTATACCTTGCTAAAATGTAAAATAGTTTGAATTTGACAGGAAACTTCTATAGGGATCTATCTGTCCTGTTTCTGATCTTTTATTCCCCACACCATTTTTTAGCAATAGTGCTGATAGCATTTGTAGTAGTCCACCAAAACTTTTCTGTTTCCTACGTCAAGGGATACTGTAACTTAAAATCATAACATAATTGATCGGCTTGCCTTTTTTCACTTCATTTTGAGTGGAACTATGACTGGCCTTTATCTCAATATAACAAGAGAGGAAATCCTTGATTTACCAAAGTCTTGTTCATCCGCAACTTCCATGACTCCAATACCTTTTAAAACCAGATTTAATGGCTTTATGCTGTTTAAAAGCTAGATTCCACGTGTTCAGGCCATTTAAGGCACTAATGTTTCAGTATGATTGCAAGATTTTTTGTGATATCAGCTAGTAAAAATCATGTCATTGAAGTCTGTTGCACAAAAGTCAGATTGTAATTTAGATTTTATCGTTTCTGTGAACCAAGCAAAATGAGAAACAGTGCCATATAACTGCAAAAGGCCTCTAGGCTGTGCCAGTTTTGGGGCTACTGGCTAATCAGGTGCAGAGAAGTGAAGAAACTATACAACAAAAGGACAAAGTGGAAACAGTTTTTAGGTCATCCAGCTGAAGATATTTCTTGTTTTCTTTTCCCTTTCCTAGGTTATTCCAGAAAAACCTGTTCAAAACAAGCAAGACTCATCAAAGAAAATCATTTTCTCAGAAAACTGTAGGCTGTGTTTTGGTGCACTTCAAAAAGCCATCAGTGTTTTTACCAATAGTCTCAGCAATAACCAACCACCTGAAGTCTTCATAGGACACAGCAAGCTGATCATTATGGTAGGACAAAAGCTAGTGGATTTTCTCTGCCAGGAAACTCAAGAGAAGGATACAAGGAATGACATCCTCCACAGCAGCAGCCAGTTTTGCAGCCTGCTGAAGAACTTGGCTCTTGCCACCAAAAATGCTGCAGTGCAATATCCACACACAGACGCAGTGAAGGAACTTCTGGGTCAAGCTGACACACTGTCTAAATATACACAGCAGTTTCAAGACACAATGGAGTGACGTAATCTTTCTGTTCTTTGAAGGACCCGAAGGAAACCCTCACAGTGTCTCCATCTTTCTGGGTTTTGACCTCCTTATCTTTGGCATCCTGCAGTCTAAGGAGGACAGGACTCTACAGAGCATCTCAGTGATGCCAATCTTAACTCATCTATAGGGATTCCTTTTGGGAAAAGAAAGGAGTTAACTCATGCACTGAAGCGTGTTCAGTCTCCAGAGATCCAGCCTACCAGTGACACTGTGACCGGGACCAGAATCTGCACTTTCTACTTGAGAGTTCAGTCATACATGGAAGATGCTAAATCAAAGATGCTAAATCAATCCTTCCAATCCATTTTTCACACTGGCTTGGCAAGACTTTTCAGTGTATAAGTACAAATATATTATATAATTTCCCTGTTTTGGCACACAAATATATTGTATTTTTCTATTTTTTTTTCCATTTGGAAATATAAGGTTTTGTTACTGGTTTTTTCCAATGGCACATCAGTACACAAATAGCGTGTGTAAATCAGCTTCTCTTTACAAGGGACTGTTTACTGTATTTGTTTTAAACTACAATAAAAAAATCCTTTACAGATGTTTCACATTCAAATGTTATAAACATCATGGGATAAATTCTGACAGGTCCTCCCCATATATATAGAGAGAGAGAGAGAAAGAGAGAGAGAATGTATTTAGTTCTACTGCAGCACTACTACACAGTAACTCTAGTTACTGTGCATTCACTTAGTACTTTATTAAGCAAGTGCTAAACTAAATGCACAGTATCTAAGGCATGTTAATGAATGCATGTCTGTGTATATGTGTGTGTGTGTGTGTGTGTACACACACCTATAGAGAGAGAGATGGGGTGGGACCTGTCAGAATTTAGAGAGAGGAAGAGAGGACCTGGCAGAGTCTCTCTCTCTCTATGTGTGTGTGTAGAATTATCAGAAACCCAAGCTGAGTATCTGAGCATGAAGAGAGCGCTGTTCTCCACTGTTCTAGCTCTCATCAAAACCCACAGAGGCTGCATATGTGGTTCTTTACATCAGGTGCTAAAGACAAGCATTCTGGAAAAGGACTCCATGTTTAAGAGTGGAGTTAATATGTTTATGGCAGGGGCAGACAATTATTTTGGGTGGAGGGCTGCTTACTGAGTTTTGGCAAGCCATTGGGGGCCGCATGACAGATTAATATTATTTTTTAAAATGTTTTAGGGGCCCTGTGGGCTGGATAGAATGGTTTGGCAGGTCATCTGGCCCGCGGAACGCATTTTGCCCACCCCTGGTTTATGGCCACTAAATGCAGGCAAGTTGTCTGAGCAAAAGCTGGGAATTAACTCAGAAACCACCTGCTTGTTGTTGCACTGCTGGCCAAAACAGGAATTCATAGTAATACTCTACTACTCTTGCTGAGTACCTACATGTTTATTTTGTGGCCTCTCCTGCATATGTCAGGAAACTTGAGAGCAGAGTGAATCTGCCGTAATCCAATGATTTCTTTGTTTGCCGCTCATATATGAGAGTGATGGGGCCATACTCACACCTGGATGCATAGTTTTAGATATGTGTGTGCATGTGTTGTATTTTTCTTCCCAATTAATTTATTTTTTTAAATACTTCTGAACTTTCACAACTTGCCTTTCTTTTGTAAGTGAAACTTGAGTCTGCATTAGTTGCTTCAGAGAGTCAGGCAACGCTTATTTGCAGTGCGCAGTTTATTTGTGATGCAAAAAATGCATATACCATTTATACCTGTGAAAGAAAGTTCCACTTGAAGTTTTAGTATATTCATTACAATCACCAAGTTACATATATTTTACATTAGTTAAACGTAGAAATATTTCAGTAGGACTATATTTGAATAGTAAAATGCAGGTAATTGCATATGATGGTTGTCTTTGTTTTTTGTACGTTAAACTCACTCATGTGAATCAGTGAAATGTTCCAACATGAAACATAACGCATGGATTACACAGCAGCCTTCAAAAGCTGTGCAATGGAAGAGTAAAGAATAGTAATATAAATTATCATTTATTTTGAGCACACTTTATATATTTCAGCCTCACTTGATTTACATAGGAATATGCTCTCTGCACTTCTGCCATTTACCAGCCAATTTTGTCCTTCAGATTTTTGCTTTCAAATGATTTTTTAAAAACTTTTCGTAGGTCACGCAACACTTTATGTTAATAAAAATAATTTTTTCATCAACATTTATTAATGTCCCTTTCACCCCTGTAACAACTTTCTCACAGACTGTTTCAGGCAGAGCAGAAGGGATTCTTTCTTCAGGTATCTTTTCTGAGGCTGCGGCTACATTACAAGGTCGTGCCCTGATGTGCACATTGGCTCTGGGAGCTTCTATACAAGATGCTTACTGCGCATTAGCCTAATAACACTGTGCAGTAGTGTGGTGGTTAAAAACTGTGCTAATAGCCTATGTGCAGCGGTGGTAGGCTAACGCGCGATAAGCGTCACAAAATAACCGTGGGCCGGCACTACTAGGCAGTAACTAGTTACTGTGCATTCAGTTAGTACTTTATTCAGCAAGTACTAAACTAAATGTGCAGTATCTAGGGCACGTTAATGAGTGTATAGACATGCCCTCGGAGTAAAAAGCAGCAAGGGAAAGTGGCTCCCATGGAGCTCTGTGCTACTGCACCTGGACGGCTGGTCGAGAGCTCCGAGGTCGCCCTGCACTATCTTGCAATGTGTAAACGTGCTCTCCGTCACATCATGCAGGGAACAGCCTAGAAGCAGGTGGTCGAGATACCATCAATTCTAGCAATCCAGGCTAACATCTGAACTGGTTACGTGTCCGTTCCTCACAGATGGGTTTTTTTTTTCTGTTTTGGGGCCTGCTCAGGAGAATCCCTTAGGGAATCAGTCCTGCTTCGAACCACCCCAGGAGTCTCTCTAGCTGATTCCACAACTGAGGGGCACGGATGGTGGAAGCAGCCGTAAGAAACATCCCCCTGGGAGTCGAACGTGGCAAGTGCCTGAGCCCTGAAAGGGGGCACCGGATCCTGGCGTGCAGGTATCTGCAGAGACAGCCCAGCTGCCGGGCTCTTAGCAGGTCTCAGCAATAGTGATGGGAGCTGTGGTGTCCCAGGAGCCCCCCAGGGCCGGGGCTGCCACCTCCTCTTGCTGCCCAGGCTGCTGTGGGCTCTGGGAAGCCTTGGGAAGGATGGGTGACGGAGAGCTTCGCGGTGCGGGGTCATCCTGATGCCTCGTGCTCTGTAATGCTAGGTCTTCGGTACCGAATAGTTGTATTGGGAGTTCAGAATTGCCGTCTTTGTGAAAAACTATCGTCTGCTGAAACAATGTGCAAATACGTCTTCTTCTGGATCTTGTATTGCTCATGGTAAGCGAGTGAGTGAGAACTGGGACACAGCAGCTGACGCCTTTCTTTCTCTGCAAACCCCAAAGGCAGGTCAGGCCTCTGCAAGAAGGACTCGGGGTTCTGCACGTGCTGCCTCAGTTCCTTGCCTCCAGGATGGCGCCTTTGGAGCCCCGCTGCTGCTCTGGGTCGGACCAGGGCTGAATCATGGCAATAGGAGTGAGCATCCTCCCGCAGCAGCTCCCGCGCCCGCCCAGTAGGGGGTTGCTACGCAACGGCCGCCAGGCGCGCGCTGGTGCGTCATCTCCGTGCGCCGGAAGTAGCGTCCCTCGCGCCGGAAGCGGGGGTTTGGCCCGGAAGTGCGGAGCGGGAGGCCATGGGTTGCGACGGGGGCACCATCCCCAAGCGGCACGAGCTGGTGAAGGGGCCGCGCAAGGTGGAGAAGGTAGGCGGGGAGCAAACGTCCCGGCCCAGAGGCTGGGCAGCCCCGGGGTCATGGCGGGCGTGTCACGGCGGTTACGCGGGCACTAGGCGTTTGTTGCTTCGCGTGAAACGCCAAGCGGCCCCTTGGTCGCTCGCCGTGCACCGGCAGCGATTGTTGGGGCCGATTACGGAGGCGTGTTGGCCGGCAGCGTCGGTTGGTCTGTCAGTTGGGCGGAGCGAGGCCCCTGCGGGGGGGAGCGGCGGCTCGTCCGGGAGGGGGGATGACTCCCACCGCTGTGCGCATCCCAGGAGGGCACAGGTGGTGTGTGTCCCCTGGATCTGCACAGGGCGGGGAGGGCCGGGCTCTTCTCGGCGGGGGCTGGGGCAGGCAGCAGCAGTGCTGAGAGGGGGCTATGGGGGGCAGGGGTTGGAGGCTGTAGCTACCTCAAAATTCGTTGTAGCCCCTGCATAATTGCTCTTCCCAGTGTCGCTGCCGGCCCCAAGTGCAGCCTGGCCCACACAGATCCGCGAGCGCCCGCCTCCCATGGTCTCCTGGGGTGCACGCAGCAGCAGGAGCCACCGCCACCCCCCCTGCACCCCCGGATGAGCCGCGGCTCTCTCCTGTGCCCTGTCCCACCCTGGCTCGACAGCCCCTGCTGCTGCTCCACCCCCTTCCTCACTGCAGCCGCTTCCATCTGCCCTCCCCCCGTGCCCCTTCATCCCCCCACAACAGACTTACCAGCTGGTCACAGCTCGCCAAGCTGCCGGGCTGTGCTCCTCGCTGCCAACGTGCCGCAGCTGCACGCGTGCATGCACCGTTTACTGGCCACATCTGGCAAAAAAAAAAGCCATTTTCCAATAACATCAATTTTCTTTATGTCGGTGCTGATCCGGTATCAGACGGATGCGTTGGTGCACCTCTATTAAAAGCCATTGGCAGTTTCTTTCTTTTGTGGCACAGGGCGGGCTGTCCCCACTGATTAGGATAAAGGAACAGCCTGGAGCTCCAACCTTGCTCCAGGGCTGCTGTCACACTTCCCCTTGGTTTTGGATGGCCAGAGCCCCAGCCAAAATAGGGAACAACTTACAGCCAGCGGGAGATAAATGTGGAAAAGAACAAGGGAGAATAAAAGGAAGGGAAAACAAATGAAAATGGAGAGAAATGAAAGGGTATGTTCCAGCAAGGTGCCCCAAGAAATAGGATGGGAATCACTGGGAATGGTTAGTTTCCTCCACAAGTTGATAATCTAACAGTCTGCTACTGTTGGAGTCCTTCTGAAATCTGTGCTAGCAGGATTGGGCTCAAAATCAAATATAGGCAGTCCACGTATAATTTTGAAGTTGTGCCTGAACGTAATGGGGCGGGTTTGCAAAAGTCTTTTGTGGGATGATCTTGAAAGGAGAAGGGGTGGTCACTTGTAATTCGGTAGGATTTGCCAGAGTATTCAAAGGGAAGTTTTAAGTGTTAGTTTTCCCAGTAGGAAAAGCTTTCTCTGAAAGGAATGAAATCTCCCCACCATTTCTCTCTCTTTTTTTCCCTCTCTTTCTTCAGGTTGACAAAAATGCAGAATTAGTAGCTCGGTGGTATTACTGCGCTCTGAGTCAAGAAAAATTAACCAGACCAATTGTAGCCTGTGAACTTGGGAGGTATGGATTTTTCTTCTTTAGATTTCTTGATCTTAAAAGTAATAAATTCTGAATAAATGTGGGTTACAAAAGTTGCAGAATACTGATGATAAATTGTATGTTGTAGGCTATATAACAAAGAGGCCGTCATTGAGTTTTTACTTGATAAGTCATCTGATAAAGTTGTGGAAGCTGCGTCACACATCAGGAGCATTAAGGTAAAGCCCGTGTACCTAATATAAATAAATGCCAAAGTTAAGTGTTATGCACAAGGCAAAATAGTAACATATCTTAATTCTGTTTTCTTCTCGTACCTTTTCCACTTCAAACTGCAAACGATTTAACACAGATATTTGTAAATCCTTATAGGTCCTCAGATAAATTCAAAATGTCATTCTCAGGCTGATGTGGTGGTTTGACGTAGTAAGTTGTAATATTGGAGATATAGTTGTGATAAGTAAGGACTATATATTTTGTGACAGCAGTGTCCATTCTTTTGTTAGCTGAGGACAATATTTTTAACTTTCTGAGCAGCTAAAATGTATATCCAGCATAGATAAAGTATAGCAGCTAGTCCCTTTTCTCTTTGCTCTGGAACAGTGTTTCCCAACCTTTTTTCACCCCACAGCACACTTACCTAAATAAAAAAGCACCGTGGCACACTGGACGCGGGGGTGGGCGTAAAGCCAGCTGGACACTGACTGGGGAGGAGGGGTGGTGTGCAGCCAGCCGGACAGCATTTTGGGCTGGAGCCATGCTCCCTGCCTGGCTGGAACCATGCTCCCTGTCTGTTTGTGTCTGCAGGAGCAGCAGGCGAGGGGTGTGGTTCCAGCCACAAATGGTGTGGCAGACCTGGACATGCCTGATGGCACACCAGTTGGGAAATGCTGCTCTGGAAGATGTAGCCTTTGTGGACTGATATTTTAAACATTGCCTGCTCTACTGTGATCTACTTAAGCATTTGACCTGTCTAATATGGAGCAATGCGTGCTGGGATAATATGCCTCCTGAAGCTGAGGTCCTGTATTAAAAATGAGCGCTGCCCATATTACATCATAGAACTGAAATATCTGCCTTTAGATATTGCTTCTCTGTGTGAAAATCTAATACTCTATACATTAACTTTAGAGAACTACTTCTAGTTCCGTTCTGGGAGAATGGAATATTTCTCTTATTTTTCAAATGAGTTAGTTATGCATAAATAGGCGAAGACAGGGAGCAAATCTAATTGATACTGAACCTATTTGTATATTATTTATCTTTAAAACTTTATATCTTGGGCAAAAACTCCAGCACCTCTTTCCAGGAAATGCTTGGCAAATGGGGAGCTGCTCTGGGACCTTTTTCTCTTTTTTAAACAAATTATTTGCATAACTTCCAAAGTTGTGGAAAGCTCTAGTATAATAAGGCATACAGGAAGAATCTCTTCAGAAACATTAGCATTTTGGTTTGCCTTAGCATGTATTAAAAAAAACTTTAAACTTATGGTTTTTTGTATTTCAGAATGTCACAGAGCTGAATCTTACTGATAATCCTGCCTGGAATGGTGATAAAGGGAATACAAAAGGGGATAAGTATAATGACATCCAGTGTGCATGCTTTATTTGCCCTGTGGTGGGCTTGGAAATGAATGGCAAGCACAGGTTAGTATTTTCCTTTTAAAAATAAGACCCCCAGAGTTTGCTAAATTGAATAGTAGCAAATGTAGAGCTATAAAAATGAATATTACAAAAACCAAAGTGCTCCCACAGCCCTTTTGGCAAAGATTTTTGTTGCTGCTGAAAGAAGGGTGCTCTTTTATGGTTCCTCTGGCCTTCAGGTTGAGGCATGGAACACAGAAGTCGACTGGTAGCATCTTAGGGACATGTCCTTTAGCTTGTGGGCATGGGGAAGAGCAGTGTTAAATATTCCTGTCCTGCCCCTTGACACTGTTTTGCATTTTAAAGGGAGCGTCCACTTCTTTTCACTTTAGGATCAGAGCAGGTCTGGGTTCTAAGATATTTCAGCACTGTACTGGTTGCTATATTTTCTTTGTGACTGTGAAGGAATGTTTCCCTTGTTGTTAGATGCTGAACCTGGGTGGGTTTTTAGCCTTTCCAGTGGTGGCTAAGTAGGTAGGTGGCAGTGTCAGGTTCAGATTGTCACAGCTTAGCAGATATTGGGTATCCAAGGCGGGCACTCACTCCCTAGAAAGTTTGGTTCACAGATACACGTGGACTTCAAAAAAGGCCCCTAACAAAGTTGGGAATCAAGATGAGGAGTATGGAGACAACCCTGTGTCATCACGGTTCCCTTCTAAACCTTGTATGGTGGGAGGTCTGGAATCAAGTTGAAAAGAGGGGGGCTGAAACCCTTCTTCAAAAGGCTGGAAAAATCAGGGAAACATGACTTGCATTGTACAGTTTATAGCCAGATAATATTTTCAGGGGAGTTAATTAAGTTGTAGCTAATTAAATCATGCCTGTGTGTCTTGTGAGCCCCTCTGCATGGCCAAAGCAATAAAGTTTTGGGAGAAAAGATCCTCATCTGTAAATCATAGCTGCAGTATAGGGCTCCAGTCAGAGTTTGCTGCAAAAGGCTTGTAGCCAGGCACTAAAAGGTGCCTGCTACTTTAAGGGCTCAAGCAGCTGGGCCAGGGAGCTCTGCAAGCTGAGCAGAGCTCCACAGCTGCAGGTTGCCTGAGCAACAGCCTAATGAGGTGATTGGCTAGCACCTGCAGGCAGTCAGATGCCCAGAAGGAGGCAGGGCCCTGGGGCTATAAGCCCAGGGCAGGAGCTAGTAGGGCACTCTCTGCGACAACTCCCAGGGGAAGGAGCTCCTGCATGAGGGAGCTGCCTGAGACCTGGTGCCACCTGTTTGACTGCTCAAGTGCAGTAAGACTCCAGGTGGCCTAGGTACCCAGGCTAAGGGGCATGCTGTCTCAAGGGTGGAAGTTTGCCCCCTTTAAGGGGCAGAGTGCTGTTGTCATTTTAGGTGTTTAAGTTATAGCCCAGGGGCTTATGCTTATGGTGGTGTTTGCACCAGTGGTTTTGCAGATGAGGCTATAGGGGAGGTGGAGACCTCAAGAGAGCCCTACTGCCAGAGGGGTGCAGCTATAAGGGCGCAGAGAGCTGTAGTGCCAGAGGGGCAGAGAAGTGACAGATAGTAGATATCTGTGAGGCTTGGGATGCCCTTGGTATTAGGGAAAATAAAGGGAAGCCTCCCACCTAAAGACATCTTATTAATTATATCAAAGGTGTGGTGGGTGAAACAGGTGGGTGGACTGCCCTAGACAGGTGGGTGGGCCGATGTAGTGATCGGTCTCGGAACTGCCCCCATCATAAAGCTTTACTCTGACTGTACATGCAGAGGCCCAGGGAGTCCTTATGCTGATGGATATTATCCTGGAAAATATTATTAATGAATTTGTGAAATGGTACACTAATCAAAAGTGAACGAAGTATAATCTCATGTATTTCACAGACGGAGAGCTTTTAATGATGATGTTGCTCATTTAGTAGTTAACAGTATTTGCAGTTATGTACTTTAATATTGATAACATTGTGGATTATATAAAAAGTAACACTTATTAACTGGCTTAACATAGTGTTTCTGTCTAAAATAAATAGAAAATGAAATTGGTGTAGGAAGTGTATGTTTAGCAAATCTCCCACAAGACTTTCTCTTTGACTTTTTTCTTTTTAATCTTCCAGTGAGCTTCAAAATTAAAGTTTGTGCATTGCAGTGAATAGTCACTGTAAGAAGAGTCCTGATAGGGAGGCTGATCAATAGAATGAGAACTCAGCTTTCGTAGTGGGATCAGTACTTCATAATTTCCAGTTTCCCTAGGTACACTGAAATTTCAGAGGATACATAGCAACCCGGAGTCCCACCAATAGTTCAGTGCTTTCTGGGAAACTGTAATAAACCTGCTAATACCCAGTGAGATAGTATAAAATAAACCATTGCATGCCAGTCAAAAAAAATGAAAAAAATTAAATTTGCAATGCGACTCAGCCTGCATCACTTTTACTTCTTGTTCAGTTGTTGCATTGGCTTTCAGCATCATTCACACCAATTAGCAAGGTTCATCTTGTACTTCTCTTGATTAGCCTCAAGAGGGCTCGCAAGCAGTTTACTGTACAGTGCTCCTTACCACTGCAGTGTTCCTGTGACGTTGCTTGTGTTCAGACAGATAACTTACCTTACTTGTAAGCTGAATTTCTTAGAATGGCAGTATCAATTACTTTAATTTTTATCTTTTTGAAAGGTTTTGTGTCTTGCGGAATTGTGGGTGCGTGTTCTCTGAACGTGCTCTTAAAGAAATTAAAGCAGATGTTTGCCACAAGGTAAGTTTTGTTGTTTTAAAAATAAGAGGTGGGGGAATGTGGCTTTAATGTAGTGCTTGACTATAACTGTGTGTGCATTCTTCAGCACCAAATGGCGGTTGCCCCTGGAAAACCCATTGATTCCACTTCTCTGTTGGCTTAAAATAACTGCATGCCAGTTTAATAACACTGACTCACTTCCTTTGGGGTTTTCCTGGGAAATGCCCTTATTCTAAGGCTGATTTGATTGGCAGTAGCTATTTTCTACAGTAAAATATTTTATTTGTTTTATTTGTTCTGGATGCTTTAGTCTTTTTTTCCTTAAACTGAAATTGAAAAGTTGTGATTTGCTGAAGGCTCACCTTTTGCATTGAGCCATCTTACTATGGGGTAACCAAAATCGGACCTCTTCCAAAGTATAACATAAGACAAAATAGTGGTGTTGTGCACTTTGTGGATTAGCCTTTGAGGGTATGTAGGCGTGATATTTAATGACACGATCAGAGCAACTGGTGATGTGACCGTTTTAATGCCTGAACTAGCGCCACATACAGCAGAGGACTGATGAGGAAGGAAGTGGCTTACCTATTATATTTTAAATATATGCTTCAAAAGGGTAAAAGGACAAAACACACTGAGCAAGTGTTTGGGGCACAGTATGAAGGTCAGGAATTTTAGGAGCTGGAGACGCTGTTTGTTTTTTAAGAATTGGACATTTTAAGATTTTGCGTTGGGATTATTTTATTTATTTGTTTTTGGGTTTGTTTTTTAAGGCTTAGATATTTTTCTAGTTAATGAGAGTGTCAAGAGTTAGGTTATAGAATTTAAAACACATAAATGCATGTGGCTCTGAAGTTGAGAGACATCCCACACCAGCAGGTTATCGAAAAATTGTCCATTATAAAGTATCCTTTGCCACTCTCTGGTGCACATGATAAAACTGATTAAAATGTACAGATTTTTAAATAATTTTGCTGGTGTGGCCCTATTTTGGGGCAGTGTTATTTATTTATTTTTAGCAATGCTAGGTTTATTGCTGAATATACTGACTCAGTTTTATTTAATAGAGCTGACTGGCACCTGAGGAAACTTATTTGCTATGAAATTGCCTGGAATAGTTTCTTGTCTAATAAAGATTCACTCCTGTTCGTTTAGCTGAGATCAGTGATTCAAATGGTTTGTCTGTCCATGTCTCAGCATCATTAAAAATCTACTTAATATTTGATCACTGTAATTGTAAACTCCATAGGTTGTTAACCAATGATACTGGTAGATATTTGATACAGTGTATTGTGCCTAATAAGCTGTTGAAGTGTGTGGTCATTACATTCCTGTTAGCTTTGTTGCCTCTTTCTTTCAGTTAAAGTTTTATGATAATAAAAATAACTAAAGACAATAAGGAAAGCTGGATTCTTTTTTTTTTTTTTTAAGCTTGTTAGGTATCTAATAGTTGTGGCAGCAGGACCTCTGTCTGACCTGCCCTTTCCTCACCCCTCTGCTCATATGGAAATGGGCTTAAAAGGCAGATTTCCCTTCCCCATAACTGGAAAGAATGTTTTACTTATTTAAAAAACAACTATCTAGTAGGGTGTGCGAAATGGGCCGTATTCGATTCAGATTCGGCCCGAATCGAGGACAGTGATGCAATTTGTTGATTTGGATCACTGTCCTGATTCGATTTGACCAAATCTGAAGATTCAATGCTGATTCGGAGAATCGATGATTTGGCCCTAGACACAGCTTTAAATGTTTTTTCTACATACCTCAAGGTACCAGCGCAGCTCGTGAGCACTGCGGTGCTGGGGCAGATGGAGTGTCCCCCAGTAGCTCGGAGGCCCCCCTGCATGCTTGGCAGCAGACCCAGAAATGGGCTGGAAGTACTTCCAGTCCACTTCTGGGTCCACTGCCGAGCGTGTGGGGGATTCCAACACCCCCCGCCCTCCCAGCTCGGCGATCAGTCTTGGGGACCCTGGGTGCCCCCCCGACCCAGAAGTCACCAGTTACTGAGCTGGGGTGCAGGGGTAGGGGGTACCCAGTGGACCCAGAAGTGGACCGGAAGTGCTTCTGGTCCAGTTCTGGTTCTGCTGCTGAGTGCACTGGGGACCCTCCTGCACTCCTGTGGGACGCTCCATGCGCCCCACCATCTCGGCCTTGACGAGCCACCTGGTACCCTGAGGTATGTAAAAAGAAAACATTTAAAGCTGTGTGTATGTCAGAATCATGGAATCGCTCCAAATCTCTATGAATTGATTCGGAGGGTTCCAATTGGATTCAGAGAGACTTAAAGGGTCTCTCGATTTGATTCAGATTCAGCCACCGAATTGAATCGGTGACTGAAGCGTCTCACAGCCCTACTATTTAGGCCTCTACCCTCCTACCCTGCACCTATGTCTCTTTCTTCCTTCATTAATGCTGCATGGTTTCTGAATCTAAGATCCTGTTAATTTTTCCCTTCTCTCCAGTTTAAGGCATTTTGTTTTGTTTTTTACCCCATGTCTTTCTTTCCAGTGACATCTTGTGCATCTTTCCACTCTTTAATGTTCCTTTTCTTCTGCTCCCTTACCATGGTTTGTTTCAGGATGTTTTAACTCTGAGAAACCCTTTTTTTTTTTTTTTTCCACTTCATTCAATGCTGCCTTCTATATGTTTTCCTCTTTTTCTATTTTTTTTTTTCTTTATTTTATTATATGTATCACTCCTCCTGAGTTCCGTTTTTGGGTATGGGATTTTGTTCATGTTTTATATGAAGCAGTTTTGCGAGCACTTGAGTACGTGCAGCTTTGATTGCTTATTTAAGGAATTAAAAAAGGAAGCTGTGATCTAAGTGATTTTTTTCACAGCTGATATGGAACTTTGCAATCAGGAATCTTAGACTTGTGTTACCACAATGAATTTCAAGCTGTGGTCTACAGACTTGGCCTGTTTCCTGGTTTTCTTGTTTTGGTTGCTAATAGCAGTAAAAAAATCTAAGCATCTGTTGTTTTGACTTTTGCTCGTGTCAAGTGCATGTTAAGAACTCCTAATTTTTGGGTTGAGGGTGGGAAGAAAGTAGTAAACCAGTTACCGTATTGAGGCATGGTCTGTGTAGAACCTGGATTATTAAAACATACATTTCAGCTTTTTCACCATAAGATATGCAGCTGTATTAAGTCTCGGAAGTAATTTATGAGCCTTTTTGTTAAGTCACTTTGCATCAGATAAGTTTTTCTTATTTTTTTTAAAGGACAGATAGTCTTGAATGATCATCTCATCGTAGAGAAATAAGGCAGCCTTTCTGTCTCAAGGCTACATTGTCTAGTACATGAGTCTGAGGATGAAAGGAAACACTATGTTTATTGCATGCTATTGTGTGTACAGTTTTAATATTTTAAAGGAACAGATGACTATCTTGTGTTTGTGTGCAAACATAGTTAAACATCCATGTAAATTCACAACAAAATTCAAGCTCCAGAGAGCAGCTTTTTTAAAGATTTTTCTAGAAACAGGGAAACAAGTTTGCTGACTTTTTTTTCCCTCCCCTCCTCACTGGTTTCTCTTGTGCGTGTTGAGACATTTATTTTCTTTTAGGGTCTTCCATTGATAGGTAGAGACCTATTGAAATCTCCATTATGCTTTTTTTTTTTTGTGGAAACTGATTTTTTTGTGGCGGGGGCAGGCTCTGTGAAAAACTTTTGGTGGGCTTGCTGAAAAAAACCCAGGCTGTTAGAAGAGGAAACAGTGGGGATCCCTGAACCTGAAGCACTGGGGGAAGAGTGAGGGGGAAGAGAGCAAATCGGAGGCTCGGCCCCTGACATAGGAGCCAGTCTGGGGCCAGCCAGGGAAGCAGGAGGGTTTTTGCATGGCTTTTAAAGCTCCCACAGGCATACTGCTACATGCATGCTGCCATCTGAGGAGGAGCATGCATGAACACTAAGAAACCCTCTAAGACAGCCAAATACTTGTCAGCACTGGACTGTGTAAGACAGTATCCTGCAGGGACCATGCATTCAGATGGAGGCAGACTCTCCTGTACCTCCCCCAATGTAACTTTGGATGTGTTGAGGAAAACCAGCATAGATCGACACCTAACAGTCCAAGGCGTACATGAAGTGGAAGGCTATTGCAGAGGCTGAAGGTCAGAGCAAGAAGCAAGCGACTGTGCCCTCCCCCTCTAAAAAAAAACACACAGAAAGCAGCTTGGCAAGGCGAGAGGTGGCATTCTCCCTCATGGAGGCCTTTGGGGTGGCGAACATCCCAGCGTAGAAACTCGATGACCCGAGGTTAAGGGACTACCTGGACCAAGCGTTTCAAATGCTGACAGTTTTCTGCCTGCCAGCAAGCTTCCCCAGCACTATCTCTCTGCAGCAGTTGCTTTGCGTGCACAGTTCATAAAGGCTGCGTTGGCAGTGTATGACTCCTCCATTGTGGCTGATGAAGTTGCTGACCCTCAAGATAACTTCATGCTTCACATATGATTTGGACCAGGGAACTGGATAGACTGAGACCTGCCTGTGTTTCAAACTAAGCTGGTCTACCTCATGTCTGAAATGTTTCTGCTGTGTCTCAAGCCATCCTGAAGGTAGTTATCAGCTATGGTGTAAACTTTAACAAGATCTCAGCATTCCTGTCTGATAATGCCATGTACATGTGCAGTGGAATTTGTGATTCATCGTGATCCATTGCCATGCCAAGCATATGCAGCTCTAGCAGCAGTTTGAGAGCAAGGAGCTGGAAATTGCCCAGCACAAAGTATGTGTTTAAGGTGTGTGGTCTCTTGGCGAGGGTGACATTCAAGATCAAGTGTTGTTTTGTGGCTGACAATGTCATGTGGTTCAGTGAGCTCCTGACGTGGTTTTTTAGGCCAGCGGGATGTGATCCACCACACAACAAGCTGATAGATTTGATAAGCTGGGTTGAAGATATGGCATCGCAAGAACTGTCAGGTTGTCCTTGTGAAAACCAGTGCAGAAGGGACCTGTTCCAGGCAATAGCCATGAAGCTAAACCAGTACTTCTGTCCCTTTAGTTGTCTCTTCATTGGTA